CACACAGCGTCTTCAGGACATGGCTGCAGCGTCAACAAAACTACAGCGAGACTAAACGTTACGCCTTCTTTCTTTGCGTGAACATTTGGGCGGCGTTATGCAAATCTTCCCACATAGTGACGTAGACATGTGGGGGCGTGTTAGAACGAGCCGTTTTAGGTAGGCGTGGTTGCCTCTTAACTTTTATAAAGAATACCTCTTTGGATTTGAGACTTTAGTCTTTGCAACTTTACAGATCTTCTTTATGCACCAAGAGCTTGTAACACTCCAAAGAGAAAGGAAAAAATTAAATCGCATCATATGACCCCTTTAACATAGATGGATGCTTTAATTAAAAAAATATACGCAAATGAGACGGACACATACATTGAACAACTTTTATGTAACAAAATACAAAACCACTTTAATTAATCAGAAAGCTTATATTTACATGATGTAGTATGTACATGATCAGAAATCAAACAGTCTTTTAAGAGCCATCGTCCCCTGCTTGTGTGTTGGGGAGTTGAGAGCAGCTGCTGGCGTTGATCGTCTCCTCAGCGGAGGTCTCCAGAAGCGTGGCTCCCGCGTCAGTCTCAGTCTCATCCATTTCATCCGCTGATTCGTCGCTCATTTCGGGATCCTCGCAATCTTTAGATTCGTCTAGCACAGATTTCTCGGTGTGTATGGGATCCAGGTAGTGACAAACTGCGCTCTTCCTGCCGAACGACTCTTCCTCGTGGAGAGTCAGCACCTCTATTCGGTTAGAGACGGGCTCGTCCTCCTTCCTCTCCGACAGGAACGTCCGCTGAAGCATTAGCTTCTTCATTGTGTGACATTTGTATTTAAGAGCTGAACTAGAACCTGCGCCGTCCTCTTCAAAAATCACACAGGTTCCGATGGCATCCTCGTATTCCCCGGCGAACAGATAGCGGCCCACCTGCATCATGGGCTGCTCGCTGTCAATGTCCACGATCTTACACGCGCCCTGCCGACTGGAGATTAAATCCGAGCTGATCATCCCAGACAGTTCCGCCACAACCAGCTGCTCCTCTTCCTCCCATTCGTCCTCCATAGCTGTAGCTGATGAAGCAGTTGCACTCATTTAACTTTTTGAAATGTGCGACTCATGAGCTGAAGCGCTCCGACAACTTCATGTAGCGAATTGCTTTTGCAGAATGTGCGCGACGGAAGTAGTGATCGGAGGTCCGATTCATTTATGGGAATCGGTTCTTTTGAACAGTTCGGTGTAACCTTTAAAACACGATTCAGTAGTACTTATCTATCTATCTTTTTTAAGTTTTGTAAATAAAGTAGCCTACTATTGTAATTCCATGTGTCTTCGTGTGTTTCTTAACCGTAAGTCAGATTGGACATTAAAAACCTAAATATAATTTGTATTTACATCAGTTAGTACTATAATTTTACTTTGGCCAGAAACCTTTTTTGCACATTTAAATCAATACTCCTCTGACCAAGAGGAACAGTATTTTTACTCAATTAATTTACTTATACTTTAGACCAAATTTCACATGAATAAGTGTAAATTTACTAGTAAGAAACCCAATGTTATGGTTTTGTTGACTGAAATATATATCGACAGTATCAGACTCCAATAAGAAAGCTGTAAGAACTTTGAAACCTTGTGAACTTTATCATATAAAGTTAGGCCTATTTATCTGATTTTGTATGCATGTGTATGTGTAGGCTATATCTTGTGTCTTTGTTTTGAACTTTTATACCTCCCCCTGGCGACTCCTATTTGTTGTAACTTATTATTCTATCCTTTTCCTTTTCTTTTTGATGTTATTTCTTGATAAAACATTGTATATCATTGTTCTTTAAAAAAATTAAAGGGATAGTTCACCCAAAAATGAAAATTCTGTCATTATTCACCCTCATGTCGTTCTAAACCCGTAAGACCGTCGTTCGTCTTCAGAACACAAATTAAGATATTTTTGATGGAATCTGAGAGCTCTCTGACCGTCCCATAGACAGATCCTTACACGATCAAGGCTCAGAAATGTAGCAAGGAGATCTGTAAAATAATCCATGTGACATCAGGGGTTTAACCGTAATTTTACGTAGCCTTGATCGTGTAAGGATCTGTCTATGGGAGGGTCTAGAGCTCTCAGATTCCATCAAAAAATATCTTAATTTGTGTTCTGAAGATGAACGAAGGTCTTACGGGTTTAGAACGACATGAGGGTCAGTAATTAATGACATAATTTTAATTTTGGGGTGAACTATCCCTTTAAATAAAGACTCTTTAAAATAAACTGTGTGTGTGTGTTGCTCGGTTATTAAAGTAACTTTTCGCATATTAATTAAAATCTCGGGTTCACCTAAAAAAACAAAAACAAACAAAGCAATGGATTAGGAAAAGATCCGATTCCAAAGAATGACTCGTTAAATACTCTTTAAAACAAACTGTGTGTGTGTGTGTTGCTCGGTTATTAAAGTAACTTTTCGCATATTAATTAAAATCTCGGGTTCACCTAAAAAAAACAAACAAACAAAGCAATGGATTAGGAAAAGATCCGATTCCAAAGAATGACTCGTTCATCAATCGGGCATCGATAGCAACTTCCGGAAAACCAACGTGTGCTGAAGTCAGTCACATGTGCGCTAGTTCCCGGCAGCATGAGAGCGCATGTACTCGGGCAACTTTCGTAAATTAGAGCTAACCTTTTTCTGAGTGTCCTAGAGAAGATCGGAATAAGCGCAAGAGCGTGCTTTTGTTCAACAGTGAGTATCTGATGGGTTTATCTGAGGGGATTTGTTTTGTGTCTTTATCGGTTCACTGTAAGCTAAGTTCGTAGTTTGCAGCGTGCTAGTTAATGCTGCGCAAAATACATTGTAATGTTTATTTTCTAAACATGGTATTGAGTTAATTGCAATAATATAAACATAACGGGTTTGTATTTTAGTGGCCTTATGAATATATTAGCATTACCTATGTAAAACTGGAAGCAGCACCACGCTCCGATCTGATAATCAGCCAGACAATTTATGCAAGTTTGTCATGATTACAAGCTAGACATCTATTTTACTACAAGGAACGCTTTGAATTGTATAGATGAGTATGTTTACTTGAGTGTTATCATACAGTATGAAAGCCACATGGGACATGCCCTGGCAATCTACACACTGTCTAGGTTTCTGTTTCTGGCCTTATAATTGTGATGTTTTTTATTCTGGTCAAATATCAACTTATTAAACGTTTACTTGTATTGTTACCTGTCTAGGTTTCTGTTTCTGGCCTTATAATTGATGTTTTTTATTCTGGTCAAATATCAACTTATTAAACGTTTACTTGTATTGTTACCGTAGAGCAACTTTGTAGGTGTCAATCATGGGCAGAAAGTTGGACCCCACCATCAAGGTGAAAAGAGGACCTGGACGCAAGGCCAGAAAACAGAAGGGAGCAGAAACTGAGCTGAATAAATTTCAACAGAGCTGTAAAAAGAGCTCAAGTAACTAAAGAACCCAAACAAGAGGAAAAGCCCAAGAAAGGTATTTAAACATTTCAAAATGAAATTATAATGGAATTACAATGTTGATGCACCCATGAATTTGTAAATGAATTATTTTCTATCGCAGGATTCTCAGATGAGAATAGTAAATGGTTAAAACCAACTCCGAGGAAGCGAAAGATTGAACAATCTGAAGAAGATGAGGACAGTGACAGCCAATGGGAAGAAGATGATGATGATGATGAAGAGGGCTTTAATAACAAGGAAATGGAGGAAAAGGATGATGGCGATGAAGATATGGTTGATGACTATGGTGCTGATGAAGGGGATGATCAAGACAGCGATGGAGAAGAGGTATGATTTCAACCAATGAAAAACATTTGTATAGAGGAAATCTTGTCCTTTCTCAAATGTCAAAAATAATATATATCTTTTTTTCTCCTGATGTCGTACCACTTAAGCTTGGAGCACAAAATACTGTATTTCACAATGCAGTGTGCTTGACTATGCGTTTACATGTGAGATGAACTGGAAGTAATGTCAAAATACATTGTAGCATACTACCATTTGAAATATTTATTATATATTGTTATACACTATAAACACTATTAAAAAACAATCAGCATAGTATTCGAAGCGTAGCCCTTTCCTAATTGTAATATTATCATTACTTGCCCTGTCAGCTTCTGCCAATTGAAAAAGCTGCAAGAAAACAGAAAAAACAAACAAGCATGAAACCAGAGAGTGATGATGATGATGAAGAAGAGGAGGAAGATGATGAGGAGGAGGAAAAGGAAGATGAGGATGAAGAGGATACTGTGCAGGCAAATATTGATGAAACTGAACAATTCAAACTCCCAGGTTCAGCAGATAGAGCGAAGGAGGGTGAGTTCAACTTTTAGTATGTCAGCAAACTAGAGGAATTCACAGCCTCAAAATTGTATGGCTCTAGAAGAGTATTCTAACCCTTCATCTCAATATATGTAGGTCTTTTACCGATGGACCTACAGACCATCCATCAGAGGATCAAAGATAATGTGGATGTGCTGTCTCACTTCACTGAGAAGAGAGAAGAGGGCAAGGAGAGATCGGAGTATCTCTCTCTGCTGCGCTCTGACCTCTGCACCTACTACAGTTACAATGAGTTCCTCGTCAGCAAACTCATGGACATTTTCCCGCTCTCTGAGGTGCGTGTTTGTATCCGCTAATGAGGAGCAACTTCGCATGACAGGTTTTGTTACCATCTGAATTGCTGAAGTGTAGATGCTTCCTGTTTTAGTACCACCCATCTGCTTCCTCACAAGGTGTGTGGCTATGCTAACAGGATAGAGGAACTGTCTGTCAAGATCTGAAGGGGTGGATGGCCACACCTCCTCCACCTCTATATGAATTGGCAGTACATCTATATCAGAAAATAACTGTCTTTGTAAAGCTTTGGAAGTTGTTTTCTTATGTGTTGATTGATGGACATTTACAACGTTCAATTTCAGCTGATCGATTTTCTTGAGGCCAATGAAATTCAGAGGCCGGTCACCATCAGAACCAACACCCTAAAAACCAGGAGGAGAGACTTGGCTCAGGTCTGAAAATATTTCTTTTCCATTTAAATGTGATATTTTGGATTAGAGTCCCATTTGCACCTGCTTTGTGATTGGACGGTGCGAGATCAAAAACAAGATCCAATTACTCAAACCTCATCAGAGCTAGTTTTAAAAAATGCATGTGACCACAGTGTATTTGTAGAATAAATGCTAACATATCCCGATACATCCGAACAATGTCAAAAGGTCCGCTATCTGTTAGTCATTCAAAATATTGCTGGTGATGTGTGGCTTTTAAAGGAAATGATCACCTAATTGAAAAAATTGTAAATTGTGGACATGCAGTCATGAGGAGGCATGCAGATCCGAAGTTCAGATAATATTGATTAACAGTAGAAACAGTCACATTAGGGAAATACCGCAGACAAAGATGGTTTGCCATTATCAATAGTGTAGTGATGCTAAAAGCATTGCTCACACAGAGGTCACTTCTAAACCAAGCAGTTTTCTAGTGGTCGCAAACAGGCAGGATTTTGCATGGAAAAGTGCAATAAAGTGTGATATCTGAGTATAAGGGTAATATGGATGTATGCGAGTGAATGCAAGCTTTCAGTCATTTGTGGAGGGGCAGGGTTTAAGTGGACTAAATAACTAGAGAGGTCTGCTATACACCTCACTCTCGGGGGGGGAAAGAAAGGTACAAAAGCTGTCACTGGGCAGTACCTTTTCAAAAGATACACTTTTGTACCTTTTGGCTACTAATATGTACACTTTAGGTACAAAGATGAACGTTTGGAAAAGGTACCATTCCAGTGATAGCTTTTGTACCTTTTTTCTGAAAGTGAGACGGTACCTAGAGAGAAGCCTGTCTTTTTCAATGGAAGCTTGAGCTATAATGTTTTGATTACAATTACGGAGGTATTTACAAAAAAAGAGAGAAATGCATAGATGAATCATTCATAATTATCTATAATGTGCATTTGCAAAATAGATAGGGCACATTTTCATTTTATGCCAACTTTAATAGGGCTGGGAAAATAAATCGATGAATCGAGAAATGATTCGGCATCGATTCTGAGATTTTCCGAATGCATCGCGATTCTTTCTTGAATCGATTCTGAGCTTAGTTTTGAACAGCAGATGGAACTGCATGCTTTAGA